TATCACTAAACAGTACGAAATGCAATACTAATACAAGTTTCAAATTGTAATTCAAGTGGGCAAATGCTATATTGTACATATTCTGCTGTACACAAACAGTGGCAAATTTCTCATCTGGAACAGCTTGAATAATCAGCTTAACTCTTCTGAAAGACCACCTATTACACTTTAAAATGCCACAATAGTCATTTAAAATCAAAGGTAAATGCCATGCATATACAAGAGCAACGCGAATTCAAATTTTGGGGACAGAGATTAATCCTGTGAAAATTTCAGACAACGACAGCCTGTACCTGCTCGTGTAGGTATGTGCTGGGTTTCTGTGGTGGGTTTTCGGTAGCAGGGGAGGGGGCTGCAGCTCTGGCCCCTGTGAGAAGCTTCTCGAAGCTCCCCCAGCTCCAAGTGGGACCCGCCCCTGCACCAAGGCCGAGCCAATCAGCTGCGCCTCTGTGATAATGTATTTAAGAAGGGTAACCTGGGAGGAGGAGTTGGAGTTGTGATGAGGAGCTGTGAGGAGGACACCCATGTTAAGACCGAGGTCAATGGAAGAAAGGAGGGGGGAGGGGGGGTGCACAGGAGCAGAGACCCCTCCCTGCAGCCTGCGGTGAGATGGCAGGGCTGCCACCCATTGAGGCCCACGGTGAAGCAGAGACCCACCTGCAGCCCACGGAGGAGGGCTCCACACCACAGCAGGTGGCTGCGCCTGAATAAGGCCAGGACTCTGTGGGAAGAAGCAGCCCCCGCTGCTGTGGTTCAGCGCTGGGAGGACTGAAACACGCGGGGGGGACCCAGGCTGGAGCAGCTCGGGGAGAGCTGCAGTCCATGGGAAGGACTCGCACTACAGAAAGTCTGTGGAGGACTGTCCCATGAGAGGGGAACCACATTAGAGCAGGGGAAGAATGCGAAGAGTCCCATCCTGTCCCCCACCCCTAAGGAGGAAGAAGCAGCAGGACTGACTACACCCCCCCATCCCCTGCTCCCTGCGCTGCTGGGACAGAGGAGGTAGAGAAATCAGGAGCAGAGCTGAGCCCAGGGAAGAAGGGGGGGATAGGGGAAGGTGTTTTCAAGATGTGGCAATGCTTCTCACTGTCCTACTCTGTCTGTTAAGTGTTGTTGTTGTTAGTGTCAGAATTAAATTGATGCCTTTTCTCCCCTAACGAGTCTCTCGTTCGCCTGTGACTGTAATGGGTGAGCCACCCCTCCCTATCCTTATCTCAATTCATGAACCTTTTACTTTATTTTCTCCTTCCCAGTTCTAAGGGGGAAGGGGGGAGTGAGCAGCTGTGTGGTGTTCAGTTGCCCTCTGAGCTCAAAGCTTGACAAGCACCTATATTGTGCTGAGGGACACAGAAGGGTGGGTCTGTTATGCTACTTCCCCCTCCTCCCCTTTTTTTTTTTTTTTTTTTTTTTTTGAAATGGAAAGACAAAAGAACAAGGAAGGAACATGGGGATGACATAAGTGCACATAGGTCATCACCAAAGTTCTTGGATAACCTGTGGGACAAAAGTGATTTTTTTTTCTATCTAAGTGAACAATCAAAAGCAAAAAAAATGTGGGTTTTTTTAGCTAGCTCTGAGGCATCTAATGAGGCTGGGGGCAGAAGCTAAGCAGAGATGGGACGTGTTTCAAGGAAAGGAAACAAGCCTTCCAAAATGCTTACAGAGCACATGAAAAGATCAAGAAGGTGCTGGATTACCAGACGTACACAGGGGAGCTACGCAGCCTAGAGTGCTGAAACCAGAGAAGAACAAACCAGGCAATATCAGTTGTAGGTCTTTTCAAGACTTCCCTCAGCTATGGTGCTGCTGTGAGAGAGAAAAGGCTGATAAACCTTCCCATGAGGTGCAGTCTTGGGAAGTGACATACAGTTGGTACTATTTCATGCAGACAAGGGTCCTGAAAGGCAAGTGTGAAATGAATGTGGTCTGACCATGACTAGGCATGCACCTAGGCAGTATGGCCAAGGAGTGCTGGATTGCCTAGGGCCAGTACTAAGTAGGCCACATTTACCATGTCTTTGAGTGCAGTTTAATTTTGGGAAGGAGAAAGATGAATATGCCTGCTGTCTCGGCCTGGAGACACACGGCACAATGCAAAAGCTATGGAGAAGAAGAAAAAACACGGGCCTTTTAAGGACGTGAAGCGTGCCAGGGATGAAATCCAGGAAGAAGACCTCACTATAAGTAAAGAAAATGCTGTTACAGGAATGGCTCAGGCAAATAATAAGAGAAGCCTGACACCAATCTTTAGCAATATAACAACACACTTGAGAGATGTGTGTGAAAACCAAAACAGATTGGTCAATTCAATGAAGTCTAGAAAGAAACTCCTGGCCATTTTAAAAAAAAATGTCTGTTTGTTTGTTTTGTAGTTCGGTACAGGTGAGTCTGGATTTTAGCAAGCTTTCCAGGTGCCTCAACACTGATTTATGGGCTGCTTGGCAGCAGCAGAAAGAAATACTTAATTCTTAGGCACATTTCAGTAAAAAGTTGTCAGCTGGGAACAGAACCACAGCACCACTGAAAAGAAAGCTTTATAGATGCATTAAAGAAACCCAACCAACTCAATTTTATTTATGTAATTCTACTATATATACAGTTGAAAAATTCACCTTTAAAAAAGGTTATCTTAAGGCAGAAATTCCAGTTCGTGAGGTAGAGTTTGTCACCACAACAATATGATGCACAAACAAAAACTGCAAAGAGGAAAGATAAACAGGACGTCGATTCTGCTTAGGCAGAAAGAAGCTTGAGCAACTAACTTGAACCCTTTTGAGTCTTCCTTTCCATAACAACAGCTAAGGCATCGTAGCAGATGTGAAACTTCAATATTCACAAAAATGGACTGCCTACAACATGAGTTGAAATCCTTGACCATTTCAGGTGTTTAGCATTTCTGAAAATGAGCTCTGTGATATGCCCTATTTGCTAAAAGATATTCAGCAACAAGAGAAATAATGACTGTTATTAATGTTTCTTTGAAGTTCAATGATGAAAGCCAAATAAATGAACATACGAAGATCACAGCTGAAATGGTTCAGGAATTATAGCCTTAACATCCCTGTCATATTGACATGTTTGGACTTTTTATTAAACTGCAGCAAATTTGTGCTGCAGTTCCGAAGTACAATTCCCCAGAATCACCCCACAAATAACTTAAATCTGAGCAGCACTGTATAGCCATTACAAGTTGGCTATATAAATAAATTGATTAGGTAACTATTTTCAACAAACTTTTTCCACTTTTTTTAAAGTTCATCTTCATTTATATCACATGTTCTTCAAGAATTTAAGAAAATATTAAAATGCTGAGCTTGTGCAAGCTTATTATCCATAGTTTACCCTTTATTTTAACTGGCACTATACATTAAGACAGCTCAATTTCACGTGTGTAGCCTTACTTTCCTAAATTAAATTTTCAGATTTAGGAAGGAAATAAAACTTTCCATTAAAAAATAATAATCGGAGCACAGAAAAGGCAACCATATCTAGTCTAATTCACGGCATTACAAACCATGTCTATACTCTGTAAATTCAACCATAATGTGTTTCTTGTGGTAATCATAAATAGAGATAAAAGATCATGGAAGATAACTCAGTATGAATGTGGTTTGTGAACCCTGTAGCGGAAGTCCCACAAATAAAGGAAGAAGATGTTAAATAATAGAGACTATGACATGCTGTAGACCAAATGTGGAGGATGGGAAGAAACAAAAGGCCTGTTATTAATCCTGATTAGATGGCTTGATATACTTGCCTCAGCAATAGCTTCTACTTTAAATTTCCAGAAAACAAAAGCCCACTAAGAACACACATGCAGCATCCTGCTTCCTGAAAGCTGAACACAATACATAGAACAAAGCTAATTTCATGCCAATTTTATCAACTATAACACAAGCGAAAGCTGAACGTGCAGGCTGGTCTTGCAGGTAAAGCATCAGTCTTGTGTTCAACCCCGGGGCAATCACAACACGTTTACACTATTCACCAACCTCTACCTCTATTTGCTTTACAATATTTTGTCAGTGAATTCTCTGTAAGTTCGTACAATACCTTAGAGAAGTAATTGCCTTGTTTTAACTTGCAGAGCACGACTGTAATGAAGCACTAGCCCTGAGATAGCACTGGATACAATAAAATAATAAAACGTTACGATCAAGGTATCTATTTGTGGAATTCTGTAATTAAACGCAGAGGAGGAGAATTTTGTTGTAATCGTAACAAATTAACAAGTTAGCAAAAATGAATAAAAAATATGCTCTTCATGTACAGAAGAAGTAGAAATAATTTTGTCATGACTGTTGAAAGAGTTCAAGATCAAGGAAGTGATTATTTTTGAAAGACAGAACATGAAAGTAAAAGTTCAACAATCCACAGTGTTTGGATGAATTTCAGCTAAGAAAAAAACACCAAAAAACTAAAAAAAACCCCTAAACAACAAGATGTTTGCTTACCATGCCATCAGAATTCAGGGGCAACAATGACTTATGTAAATTATTGTCCTCTTCCTTAACTGCATATGTGTTTGTGAATCAATCATCTCCCAGTTCTCTTGCTGGAGCTACTAATCTGCCCAGTAAATTCCTGGAACCATCTTAAAATCTTTGTGATTTGTCACTTCATGACCCTAAAATTACTTGCAATAGATAATCTGAGGATCAGGAGTAGCTGCTCTGTTTCGATCTTTGACCTGGAAGATGCAAGTGCTACTGCTAGCCTAGGAATGAAGTACTAAAGCAGAACAAAGCCATTGCTTTTCTTCTGAGATTACACCAAGACAGATCACAAAACATTGCATGATGTTTAATTGATTTAACAATTGCTTGAAATATAGCAGTAGGCTGTCACATAAAACCTGATTATGACACATTAGAGAAAGAATTAGAGAAATTGTGCTAAAAAATGTGAGAATAATGATTTTCATTGTGCTCATGTTGCTGCAAACTGGGAAAAAAACACCCAAACCCACCGAATATATAGATTGTTTGGAAAAAACATACCTATTAACTCCTTATTTCTGACATCTAAGGCCATGTTTCGTAAAGCTGTAGCAACTGCACATACCACCCGGTCGTTGTCTATTCGAAGCAGTTCCACCAGGATTGGCAATCCTTTTTCTTTGCGAACAGCAGCGCGGATGTACACGGACCACTGTAGAGAGTGTGAAGAAGAGAGTGAGAAATCCACTACAGAAAGAAAGGCATCTGAAGTTATAACAGATACAGAGTTATGGGTAGCAGAAGCATGTGGATGCAAACTGAAAAGAGGGGAAATAATTGCATTTATGATGCTAGGCAACCACTTGATTTGGAAATCTGTGCTAATTTTTTATGGTGGCAAAGAAATTAAATGATGAATTGACTTTACTCCTAGCACACCTGGTTACATTTTTTACAGCCCAAGCCTGAAGGCCACTTGCTTTGCATCAGCATTTCTTATGCAACACCTAATGATGCTTTTTCACTTCACTAAAATTTATGTTACAAAACACGTTCAGGAGGTCTGAGTATTTCTTTGTTATTACCATAAGAACTGTTCACTCTGAAAACATGAAAATGCCGTTATAATTTCTCCTGTGATTGTCAACTTCTTCAGAAAGAAACATGAGGACAACTGTATGTCTGGTTTTGGCACTGATAGTGGTCTTAGCTGGAAGACATCGAGGAGCTCGAGATTCCCGTAAGAGTTGACCTGAGGGAGGTGCAGGCCCGTGCTGTGATTTGTGGCATGTACCGTGTGGCCACAGGATAAACCCAGCTGCTGATCGTATTGGAGAGGCCTGTAGGCATCTCCCACTTGGCAGCTGAGCACGACCCCACTGGCACGCCCTTGTCTTGATCCCAAAGCAAAGCAGCGTGTTCTCACGTGAACGTCTTTTTTTGTTTGACGGTAGAAATGGTGGGTAGTTAACTTCTAAGAACACCCTCTAAAAACTATCATGCCAGTGAACCTCCACATGGGTGGGATCTGTGCAGCGTGCCATGACTAGAAAGTCCATCCAACGTGCACAACTTGCAATTCCCAGCACGTGAAGGCATGAAAGACTAACTATACTATCCTCTTTCTCATTCCACTGTTTGCTCCCGAAGGGGGAAAAAAACATAAACAAGACCAAAACTGACTTTGTTGTTTTAAAATCTATGGGTATTGCCAAATTTGAGATGTTTAGACACCTGCAGCATGCGCAGGTCTTCTCAGCTCAGTCCTCTTCAAAACAAGCTATCTACTAGGCATATATTCCTTCCTGCATCCTGAACTCTTCCCTGGAATTTTCATAAAGTTCACATTCATGCTCCTTCTACTGATAGTCAAAAGGAATTTATTGAAGCAGAGCTTCTCCCTCCTTTCAGTGCTACGGCATGGAGGCTTATCCCACCAGTGTACCTGGAAAGTGAAGACAAAGTTCTGGAAGCCCTTAGTCTCTGAATATTTCAAATATTTTAGAAACTAGGATGATAAGACTTAGGATTTTCATATCACGATGACTCTTCTCTTTTGACAAACCTTCCTTAAAGAACAGTTAGACCACACCTTAAAGAACACTTATATCGCAATAGTATTCTTCTGTAAACAGAAAGAGTAAACCCAAATTCCATTAAATACAGCATCAGAAAAAGGTGAGCACGCTCACTGTCAGCAGGCCATGCTTAACCTCTGCCTCTTCTTACCACAGCTGAAGTGCTCACTTTAAAAGCTAGCATCTATTTATACTACAGACAGGTGCAAAAGCTAGAATATATTTTATGATAAGAACGCTAGATACAGAGACAGACAAGGGCTGCAATATCGCAACATCTGGAGTGCAAATTCATTCCATGTGATGTCATTCAGGGGAAACTGGGAAAAAGGAAAATAAACCATCATTTAAGTAATATTATTTTATTATTTCTCCTCTGTAGTAACTATGCATAACAAAATCCAGCTGGCTGGACTTTGCTGTAGACAAAAGCGATAATGGTTACGATAAGCTTTCAAGTCAGGTAAAGGGGACATGGGGTTTTCAGCATCACTGAGCACAGTAATGTAATATGTCTAAAACGTAAATGTGCCATCATTTTCTGATGCAAAACAAATAGCTTTTAGGTGAGAGAAGTGCTAGCAGGATTCCTGATTGATCTTACTCTACGCTCTCTTCTCCAGCCTCTTCTCTAGAACCTATAGAGTGATCATCAGGTAAAAAACTAAAACCCATCTTAAGGATCAGTGAGTTTAATAGAACGTATCTGTTGAAAAATAATTTCTTTCCTATGCCTTGATTTTGATAGGGTATTAAAGGATGCCACGAAAACACCAAATTAATCTTTCTAAGCTTCCTGTTTTAATAAACACATATTTACCTGCCGGTTAACCACACTCTCACCTGCAGCTGGGAGTTCCCAACACAATAGCTCTTTGCACTTTAAAACTCCCATCGCTGTATTTTCTACAGCTCTCCCTGGGGAGGCCTCTGCTGTGTCCGCTGTGGTTACAAGGTGCCTGCCAGAGAGACAGTTCACGGGAGCCATGAGACTATTTTGAGAAAGGACTGAGCCTGTCCGGGTCAGGTAAGAGATCAAGCAAGCAGACAGTACACTGACAGATGCTGCTGTTCACTGCAAAGGACACCAGAGATGTAGCACCTCCAGTACATATCACATGGGCAATCAGTGGGGGTGGGTTTTGTTGAAAAAAACCCAACTTGCTTGTGTCTAGTCAATACCATAGAGAATCTAAAATGATCTTATAGATCATTCACAATATTATAAAAACCTCCATATTAAAACCTCAGTAAGCAGTTTTCCTTTGATATTTTTTTTAGTCAGCTACCAAGGGAAAACACAAGCACTCGTTTTATGAAACCCAGGTTTACAACAGACTTCTTGGGTTGTAGTATTTTCATCATCCATTCCAAAAGAAAAGTTTAAAAGAATTTTTTTTTTTTTTTTTTTTAACCCTAGGGAGACTAGAAGATGATGTAGGAGAAACACTGAAATAACTCAGTATGGAAAAAAGAGAAAATATAAACCTCCTTACTGAATAAATGACATGCAAGTCTTCAGCATCTGTAATGAACCAATTAATTTGATCACGATAGTAAAAAATACAGTTCCAAAGTTTTCATAGGGGAAAAATCCAGATATAATGTTTTACAGACGCACATATGCACACACATACATAGAACAATGGGAGAAAGAGAGAAAAGTATTTATGAAACCTCTCCTCTCCCCTGCGCATTGCTCTCCCCCTCAGCTCTCTTTTTCCAGAGGATGTCATCTGCTTTGGGAAAAGTTCACAGACTCCTCAATGTGTGATTTGCTATCATTTCATCTGCGTTTTGAAGTCACGCACCTTAGGCAGAAAGACAGAAATGTCTATTAATTGTTTCAACAGTCTCTGGAGAACTTTCCGTGTGGAAAGTGGTAAGAACTGTCTGTGTCTCTTTCCTTAAGCTGCCAATTAGGACAAGTCTCTGCAAGCAATTATGCTGCGCTGTGCGGATTTCAGGAACGCTCAAATTGAGATGCCTTGAAATGGCTATTTTATTCTCGCAGAGAATGGAAAAATTGATTCGCTCTTGCACATACTGATGATCCTTTTGTTTGCCTAAAGCCATTGTGAAATGCGCCTGCATTTCCACATTGCAGGTCAATTGCTAATATGAGCTCAGTGAAGTATAAAAGAGAAGAGATGAAAAATCATAAAAAAGAAAAGAGACAAAGGGTTTGTTGCCTATCTGTAGGTAAATGAGGCACTCTGCCAATATACTTGATCATCCTGTTACTCTACAAATCAGTGGTAGTGTCAACGATCAAATGACTGCTCAGTTTGTAAAGAGAGAGGGCTCCTGTGGGAAGAGCAAACACTTTAGAGGGAACAAAGAGCCAAAAAATAAAATAAAATCATTATTGTTGCATTACATTGCGGCTAAATTAACAGAGACAAGCACAGGAGCCACAATCTGTGCACAAATACTCTTTACAGATAATTGAATTCAGGGGGTATAACTACTATACATCACTTTGAAGGTACATAGTACATCTCTATGTCCACTTCCATTAGTAGTTCCCTTTTTATTTTTGTCATACCAATTAAGTAGAAAAATACAGTAAACCGGAAAATTATTTTTTAGTTTGTCACAGTTATGATTATAAAGGACCCTTTCCAGAGCTGAATGCCTCTAGGGATTAAGATTACATTAGGCTGAAGCTCAACAAAAAAGTAATTAATCTAGATAAAACTTAATTCTTCTTTTCAGAAGAAATGAAAAGCATTTAGGCAGTTAACTCCTTTTAATGTTTTGTATGGTTTTCTTTATTCTCCCATGAAGCACCACCACAGGAGACCAAACTGAGAAATGAAGTCATTTCCAGCACAAAATGAAGAAGAAAAAAACCCACCAAAATAAAGTTACAGAAAACTCCCAAGGAATACCAACAACTGTACCCACTTGATATTTTGAATGGATTCACCCTCTTGCCATGCCAATGTTACCGGAGTACCTCCAGAATATTTCACCATCACATACTTCAGTTTTGACTAGAATTTGTATTGTATTGGTACAGTTCAACACTGTGACTCAAAAACTATTGAGGTATCGAATATTAAAGTGAATTGCTGAGACATAAACTACAAAATGAAAGCCAAATCAGGGCAGCAAGCATGCCAAAGCAAACTAAACTACCAACAGAACCAGGAAGATCAGAGAAACTCAGAATTTGCTATCAGAGGCTTAGAAAGGGGCTGTCTGCCTACAGTGGTGGAACAATAGAGCATGGAAAAGAACTGCATGTTGCATAATCAAAGATCAATGAGCAATCAAAGATCAATATTCCTCTTTGTCTGATCCTATTTGACGTAATACATGAATCAGGAAAAAAAAAAAAAAAAAAGAGAATGTTTTTATATCTTTACATTATACTTAGAAAATTACAAATCTACTTTACTCAGGTAACTCTACTGGGATCCCTGAGAAATCACACCACATGACAGAGAACAAGGCTCTGAAATCTTGGTTATCTTTTTGCAATTTCTGAAGACAGTGAGCACTTCCTAGGGACTTTCTGCTCCCTGACTGCAGTGTTTTGTTCTCAGAAACTATCCCATCTGGTAGACCACCAGTACGTTCTCTATATCTTTGTGCTGGGACAACAGAAAAGTATTAATTGATTACT